ATAAATTTGAGCTTGCTCTTTGTTTGAGTGCTATATTTACCAAGACAAATTTAATTTATTGGTTTACATTTCCTCTTCCCCAAGCTTGTCCACCAGGCACGTATGGTAAGAACTGTAACCGAGTATGTCAGTGCTCTGCTGAGAATGAGGAATGTCACCCAGTGACTGGCGACTGTGCGTGCCACCCGGGCTACTACGGGCCCCGCTGTGACCTCCGTGAGTATCTTTATGGTGGGGCCCACTTGTTGAGTTACACAGAAGCATGTGCTGGTGCTTTGAGTTCCTCTGTGTCAGTACCTCCAGCGTTCACTGAGATAAAGTAAGCATAGGTTGAGATACTGTACATTAATAAAACCACCTATGTTATTGCAAGGGATTAATTAAAAAGAAATAAAAATAACTCATTTTCTAGCTAAATTCTTTCCAATTTCATGCCACGCTGAAGAGTACCAATATCATTCTCTACCCTTACACCTCTCATCTTCAGCTACACCTGAATGTTGTGTGACTCTTACATTTCCAGCTACCTAGGCCAAAATACTTCCTGCAATCTCTGCGTGATCAAGTAAGGACAAATGGTTATTAGAAAACAACAGGCTGCAATTGGCAATAAATATCAGTGATTCATAAAGTCACTTCAGTCGTAGGGCCTTCTGAGGAACAGTCACATTAAATAAATTGTTACTCAGGCTTGAAAAATGGTGACTAGTGTAGAGAACAAAGTGCCAATTGGCTCAATGCTCCATCATAAAAAATATTCCCAGATCCACATGCCTCATGCTGGTATTTTAGAACATCTGTTAAGTTGTTCCTGGTGGAATGTGGCGACTGATAAGAAACATACACTAAGGTATCCAAAAAAGGAGACGGTTAATTACCTTTTTATTTACAACTTTAATTTTGTTTTTACTCCACGGCTTGTAATAGTCTCATTTAAAAAAAAAAAAAAAAAAAGGAAAAAAAAAAAGCTGTTGTCTTTCAAGCTCAGTCTTTCTCTCTTCGGCAAACACTGATTTTCCTTTCCTAGGAATCCAGCCTGGCTCTGTTTGGTTTACTCATTTTTTGGGGGTGACAATTTGGATACAAAAGCCAGCTGCGATATTTGCAGCTCTAGTAAGGGTTAGACCTCTGCTTTATTCCTCAGGTAGAAATAGGAATGAGGCTCATTTTAGAGATGGGCATTTGTATTGCCATCATGTCATCACAAGTTATTCTTTAAAATATAAATGTAAATGTAAGGATTGATTTTATCCTCCTTTGAGCATCAGTTCTCACTGTAAGTGAGATTGAAATCCGGCCTTCAACATCTAGACTAGAGCCATCTGGATCCATTATACATTAGATTATAATAAATATTATAGTAGATCAACTATTTAACAGTATCATTTTGAAGGACTTAATCAGGGTTAGCCTATTACTTTTATGTGGTAATCTTTCAGTAGTCATTACCTGTGCCTGTAGTACTAAATCTCTACAGGTTATAGTAAATGTCCTCGAGCTTGCTTAGAACCTTAAGATTTTATTTCAGCATTTTAAAATCTAGAAGATGCATAATTACACTGAAGTTCTGATATAAATTACAGAATGAAAGCTGTGTTTCGGTGCATTTGGAGGGGATTTTACCGCTGACTTCTGTGTAGCTAGGATTAAACCTGTAGCATATGAGATGTGAGCCTTCATGGTGCTGTTTTCTCTTAGGTTTTAAAAATACACAGTATCCTGCACAGCAAATTCTTACTTAATAAATATAGTTTTGTTAAATGTTTACTGGAGAGGTAATGGAATGGTGGATAACCATTGCCTGATAACCGGGGATGGCTAGCGTGACTGTGGTGGAAATACTCCTTGTTCTCACTGTCGTCCCTGCAGTGGGAACTGGGGCTGCTCCAGGATGAAGAAGCTTTCGATATAATATTAAAAACAGTGTAGGGAGCCGCTCCCAAAGACATGAAACGGGCTTTAGTCCAGTCAACATGTGGTTGGATGCTGCTGGAAATCGTTTCTGGCAACCATTGCTATATTTATAGTACTGTGAAAAAAGGTTCAAGAAAGTATCTATAAAAGGTGTAGTTGGCTGGGAAGTCAAATTTCCAGAAGCCAAGAGCAACGAGGCTTTCATGTTCTCAAATTTTGGAGTGAAGAGCTGAAACAGTCTCTTGGCAGGATCCAGAGGAAGCAGACAAACTAGCAATAAGGTTCCCATCAATTGTCCATAACTCGGTGGATGGGCAGATCTACTGGAGTGAAGTTATGAATAAAAAGCAGTAAGTGGTGTTGTAATGGATAAAAAACCCCCATGCTACACCTCTGTGACATTTACTGGGCTGGGTGAACCCTGAGCCAGAAAGATTTCACCAGCTTCACCTTCAAGCTGTAGAAGTGACTTTTTGACAATGCAATTAATACCATGGGTAAGAAAAACCTCAGTGTAAACAGTTGGTATGAAAAGATTTAGGAGCTCTTGGTCATGGCAAACCCACCAAAAGCAGAAGGAAAAAAAAATAAATCAGGAAATGAGTTAGAAATCTGGCTGCCACTCCTGCTGTTCTCAGAAAAACATAAGTCAGATGCAAAGGAAACTGTTAAATTAGAAAATGTCTTTATGAGATAACTGGTGGTCAGAGGCTAACCCTCTCTCTAAAGGCAGAGCCTATTTAAATGGCAGGACATGGTGTAAATTGCCCTAGCTATCTGCGTAGAGGTTCTCCTGCAAAGTGGTAACAGATGAGACGGCCGGGTTAATAATCACATGAACGTTGCAGCTGATGTGTTTGTCCTGCTTGCACTGCTCCCCGTTGAACTGAGGTAAATAAAATGCTGCAAGGGTGAATGAATTGGTAAGGGGGGAAATATTGCATCCTTTTCAGTAATGGAGCAGCTCTTGCTAGTCTTGAGCTGGGAAAAAACTCTGCAAGGTTTGCCAGGGAGAAGCAACATGTTTGGGAGTGTGGGAAACAGAATGAAACAAAAGAAAAAAGCCAAATGATGACTGAAAGGAAAGGGAGGAGGAAAAGAGAAACTCGCTTAGAGTCCAATTAAATCATTGAATCTGGGTGTGTTCTTAACTTCATGTCTTGGTGGAAACGAAATAGATGTTGCAGGGCTCACTCCTTGATGCCAGGGTTTGCACATGAAACAGATTTTCTGTACTGACAGATGGAAGCACTGATGACAAAGTATTCATTGAGAAGAAACCGTGGTTGAGAAGGGCTGGGGAGAGTATCTGTGTGTTATAAAAGTGTGTATCTGTTTAGTTCTGATGATCTGCTATCCTGATTTGAGCAGAAGCCAATTTTCAGTTTTATTTTAAAAGACTTGCCTTTAAAGCTTTCCCATAAGCTCTACCTCTCTATTGAATACTTAAAAAAAATTCAGAGATTTCTTCAGCCACTTAGGCCATGCTTTCATGCCTTCAGAAAAAAGAAGAAAATATATAAAATTATTTATGCATGGATTGTAAGAGATCTGTTGCTTGGAGACGTGTGCAAATATATATTCAACCAGATTTCCAAAGTAGCCATTGGCTTTCCTTTTGCCAGGGAAAAGAAGGAAGGAAGGAAGGAGCAAAGAAATGACCTGTAGAGGCACTAGCGTAACTGTTGAATGGTGATCATGTTGCTCTAAAAGCACCAGCTTCTCCCCCTTCCAGTATACTGGAAAATTAGGAAAACAACCTGCATCTCCAGAGTTCAGTGGTGGGACACTGGAGGCAACCTTGATAGACAGAGGCACATGCCTAGCAGCTCTGCCCTTCTCTTTTCCTCTGTTCTAGTCTCCATCACTCTAAAGAGTATCTTGAAGACATGAACTAAGTGTGGTAGATGCATTCGTGTCTTCCTGATCTTGTGTGCAGCACTCCTTCAACATTAGATGTCCAAAAAGAAACCAGAAATACTTGCTACCAACTGGAAAACCTCTTCATGGGCAGCTCATTGCCATGTAACACTGGCCCAGCAATCCACCCAGGTCTAATGTTTCTTCTGGTTATTACAAAATACAGCTGCTTTGGTTTTTTCCTTGGAGAGTTTAAATTGCATTTAAACCACGTCTCTCCTCCCTCTGTCTTCTGAGAAGGTGTCTTCTGAAATTTCCTGTTATTGTCACGTGCACATTTTCATAGTCTTCCATCCACAGCCCACTAGGTGTGCCAGAGCAATACCAACTCCAGTTTGGAGGGAAAAAAAAAAGGAGGAAAAGAGTAGATTATAGAGGAAGCAAACTTTCTTCAACTTAAACATTTTTAAAACACGAGACCTGCCCTAGTACCCATAACTGGTCAGCTAAAATGATTACTAAAAGGGGCAGAGATGGCTCACAGCTTCTCACCATCTTGGGCAAACCAGGCTGTTGCTGCCCAAAGAAGAAGGACCTGGGTCCCATCTCTCCATCTTTGCCATAAGAGAGGAACAGGGAACAGGTTAATTTGGAACAGAAATCCAAGAGTAAAACCTCCGAATAACTGGACTTACTTTTCTTGCCACCATCAGTTATGAAGAATGGGAGGAGCAGGCAGAGCCAGGAGCAGTTGGACCAGGCTCGATGGCAGCAGTCGGTCTGGATCTCAGGGGTTTGACGTTGCTAGTCAGCACTGCCTGGCAACCCCAAGGGGTGCATTGCCCAAGGCAACCATCTGCTTGTCAATGCCTACTCCTGACCCTCTAGAAGTGAATAGAGTTAGAAAATGAAAATCTAATTTTGGTTGAAAGCAACAAAGTGCTTATGACATGAAATGCAACGGGCCTGGTAGCAACATAGCGTTAATTACTCTTTTGTTCTTTTAAAACAGGGTGTCCAAAAGGTACTTATGGTTCAAACTGCCAAAGTCCCTGTAAATGCATGAACGGTGGCCACTGCGACCCTGCCTCGGGAACTTGTGATTGCGCGCCTGGCTTCATTGGAGCCGACTGCAGTAACAGTAAGCCAATATTCATGTTCTGCTTCTTCAAAAAAAACCCAAACCAGCAGAGAAAATAATCTCCGTAAGAGCTTGTCAGTAGAAAAACAGACAGATCCCAACTACCTCCTCCTTGAATCGTAAATCAGGATTCCAGCTTTGTAAAACATCTCTTGCAAAATATTTTCCCTCTCTTCTGCGTGCATAGAAGCAAAGACACTCATCCCAGGTTTACAACCTGCTTGCCCAAATTTATTTCTAGAGCCAGCTCAGCATGAATTGCTCAAGTTCCTTCTTCCTGTCCAAAATTTCTAAGTTAAGAAATTATCTCAATATTTTGCTTCACACTATGGTGCCATTAATTTCAATAAATGGGAAAAAGATCAAGTTTTATCGTGGCAAAACTGGTAAGGATTTCATGGCAACCCTACTCTTCTCCATTTCAGAGCTAAATTGTGTCTGAATTTCTGTGCTAATTCCAAAGCTATGATCTCTGTGAAGTTTTCTTCAGCTTATTCACAGAATGGCAATGCATTAATGTTCAGTAGCCTATAGTTTTACTCTTCAGCATAGGACAGCATCAAGCTTACGGAAGGAAAGATATCTTTAGCTGGAAGGATGAGCAGCTGATATTTCAGCTGTACACTCACCTTTTTGGTAGGAAACCTACTCAATATTCCATATGTAACCATGGATTATATTTATAACTTCAAGTAAAGTTTCAGAAGAAGAAACAGTCATGCCTTTGGATGGGTTTTGGTTTTATAGTTGTTGCTTTGAAGCACATTAGCTGGAATAAAAATTCAGCCAACTCTACCTATAGGATCCTGCCTATGTTAGATGAGTTGCCAGTTAGAACGAGTCCAGAGGAGGCCACGAGGATGATCCAAGGGCTGGAGCACCTCTGCTGTGAGGACAGGCTGAGAGAGTTGGGGCTATTCAGCCTGGAGAAGAGAAGGCTCCGGGGAGATCTTATAGCGGCCTCCCAGTACCTGAAGGGGCTACAAGAAAGCTGGGGAGGGACTTTTCATAAGGGTGATTAATGACAGAACAAGGGGAAATGGGTTTAAGCTGAAAGAGGGGAGGTTTAGATGAGATATTAGAAAGAAATTCTTTCCTGTGAGGGTGGTGAGACACTGGCCCAGGTTGCCCAGAGAAGCTGTGGCTGCTCCTCCCTGGAATGTGTTCAAGGCCAGGTTGGATGAAGCTTTGAGCAA